GTAAAAAAATTAAAGTTCAACACTTCATACATCCCGACTTGGCCAAGACTGAACTAAATAAAAGCAAAGAAATTTAGCAACACGCATGATATCCATATTCAAAATATTCAATTAGTCTAAATCATTTTATCATTTCTATTCAGCATTCGGGGGCAAGCATAAACGGACAGTAACTTGATCCACCTTCGTCAAATACTTCTCGACGTCGAAATAGATTATAATTAAATTTTAAAAATTTCCAATAGTATTGAAAAATCGAGGAAAAATTGAAAACGCCGAAATCTGCGTTCATGAATTGCTATCATAATAAAAATCGACCACGAAAATAACATCTAGTCTATTACAATGCAAGAAAGGCAAGCGTCGAGACACTTCGATTATGACACGTAAAATGCCCTCAACACTTGACAGGACAAATTTCAAGCGGAAGTATACTATAAATACAAATTTTTAAAATTGGGTGGAATGGCAACAGCTTGACTATAATCACGGAAAAATTCTAGGAGTGCCACATGCACAGAATTTCAGTTTCTTTGACACAAAATTTGATAATTGCATTAACATTACCTCAAACCGATGAACCAGCTTTCCAGTTTCTCCTTTTCACTAGCAGGATAAATCTTGACTTCGTTTTGACGCAACGACGCCAGCACTTTCTCGGCCAATACACGAGATTTCAAGAACCTTTTTGCAAAGGAAAAAATACGGTAAACCCTCCACGATTTGAAAGTGAATGCGAATTCAAAGAATAATTACCATTGCTCTCGAAGAACAGGCTCAATAATATCCCCCGTTCTCGAACACACCGGCAATGAAATAGGATGAGGGTTTCTAGATATCAAGTAGCCACCGAAGCGCAAGGCGTCAATCACTGCAGCTCGAGCTTCGTACCTCGGCATTCCCTGGAAAATAGTCAACAACTCATGATTTTTGTGGACACTAGAACAAAAAAAAATTCGATTACCGCGAATGTTCCACAATTGTCATTCATCGCACAGCAATCATCGAATATGTTAATGGGTTTCAGACGGTGACGAACACTGAGCTCGAAATCGGCCTTGTCATGAGCTGGAGTGACCTTGACCACGCCTTTGAAAAAGTATTTTACATTTAATAAATAAAATTCTCATGGAATTAAAAAAAATAATCACGAGGATGATCCGGAATAATTAAAATTACCAGTCCCAAAAGTCGGCTCGACGGACCCATCCGCGATAATTGGGAGAAGTCTGTCGAGAAACGGGTGTTTCGCTCGTTTTCCGATGTAAGCAGCTTGACGACTATCCTCCGGATGTACAGCAAGGGCAACGTCACCTAGCATCGTTTCCGGTCTCGTCGTTGCCACAGCTATGCGTCCATCTAAGAAATTACCATAAATATCTTGTAAATAAAAAATAGCTTTATTCTTTATCATGCAGTATAATAAAAACTAAAACCATCTCAATCCATCTTCCAACGAGGGGTGCATTCTCAATGGGGATTGGGACATACCGCTTCGCCGGGGCATTTGAAATTTCTTACTAATTCCGAATATGATTATAGTACTGTATCTCGAAATAAAAAATAATTCTGATGGTCCTTCAGCGTTTGCAGACGACACAGAAAGATAATTAAATGAGCACCAACCACGGCCGTGTCAAGAAAACGTTAACTCACAACGAACAAAGATGTAAGATCATTTTCTTACACCAATAAAATGTTCAAAAAACAACCTGAAGGATTTTCGAGCTCATATTCGAACACAGTGAGCAACCCGATGTTGCGAGGTTCATCATATCCAGGCACCATCCGCATTGGACCAGTACCATCCAGATCCAATCGATCAACCTCAACCTCAGAAACTGTCGAGCAAAGACTTGGACACCAGTTGACGATTCTTTCTCCACGATAGATCATTCCAGCATCGAAAAGTTTCACGAATGACTGCCTCACAAATTTTGAAGTGTTCTGAAAAAAAAAAGAAGCGAAAAGGATTAACAGTTTTGAATGATAAAATTAAATACAATGACGGCGCAGATTTAGACAGGAAAAAATAACCTCAAAAAAGTTTCACTCACCTCCCCCAACGTGTAGAACTCGTTCTCCCAGTCCAAAGATGCCCCGAGGGTCTTCAGCTGATCCCGCATTCTCGCTCTCTTTAATTCTTTCCATTCTTCCACTTCTTTTAAGAAAGCCACTCGCCCCACGTCGTGTCTAGAGACGCCTTTGGTTGCCTTCAATTTCTTTTCAACTACCACCTGAGTGGCTAACCCCGCATGGTCAAAACCTGGCGTCCATGAGGTTTTCAGCCCCCTCATCGTATTCCTTTGACAAACAGATGCTGATAAGGTTTTTTTTCTCTTCATTACTTTAGTTAGGTTGCGCAAGCTTCCAAAAGGATAATTCGCATTTAAAAAGAATTGACCAGCTTTTATTCAGCAAAGAATGCAGTAAACAATAAGAAAATAAGATTCACAAGGCTTGAAGCAAGTCGTTGGCCATTTCCTACGAGTTTTCCTAATTTCAGCTCGTAAGATCCCTGATTTTTGCTTTCATTTCGACATTAGCAATTATGGGCTGATTGAGTTCAGGGTTGAATTATACAAATATGGTGGCAAGTTTTCAAAGTTTCCTCTTCAAGCAATTGAATTGTTTACCGACAAGGGTGTGGTCCTTTTGCAACTGAAGTCTTATTTTCAATTCGAATAGGGTTAATACTTTTTTCCAATAAAAGATGAAATAATACATTCAAAAAGTTTTTGTTCATATCATCCACTGAAAAATACTGACAAAAATTATGAAACAAGCCCGAATTTAAAATATCCTATTTACTCACCACGAGAAAATTTTTTTTCATTGAAATTGGGAGGAAATAAGGGGTGCGTGTCATAGGCAAGGATTAAATACAATTGAAAATTGTTTGAATTCATGACCAAATTTAAATTCTGGTGCTTTTTAGTTTCAAAATATTGCAGTAAAGTATTTCAATGGCTAAAAATGGTGCGTTTATCCTAATCGGGGAATAGGATTTCATCAAAATTTTAGGGCGAACAATTGGGTCAAGTGATACAGTATTCAAGTAAATGGGGTAACAAGGAACTCTCTTCTTGGAGAAACAAAAACAATTGAATTATGTCATTAATATCATCGCCATATTTGTACCATTTTATGACAACGTCCTGTATGGCAATAGTCAAAGCATGACCAAGATGCAAAGCCCCAGTGACATTCGGCGGAGGCAGAATCATACTGAATGTGGGTCGCTCATCTTGTCTTCTATTCGAATTCGATTCTCGTCTCAGAGCATCCCAATAATCGTTCCATCCGACTTCCACTTGACGAGCATCATATTTACGGGGAAAAGGCTCGTCTAAGCCTGAAGTGAAAAATTCCGATAATAGAGAGAATTTCATGAACGAAGTTGACCATGAAACGTACGAACCATGCTTCAAATATTTCGACGCACTGGAAATTCCGGCACATGACAAGTAACCGTGGTTGAAAATGCGCTGGAGTAACAATCGGTCTCGACCAGATACTCGCACTATTCCTCGCATTTTCACACCTAGCGTTCGAACATCAAAACTTGCAATCAACATTAGTCAGACGCAATTTAAAATAAGAAAAACTCAAGTAAAACATGAGATGACCAAAGTTCACTTCATTGAGAATTCTGCGGTAAAAACACGGCCAGTCCAATAAATACCGAAAACATCGTAACAATTTCGGATCCGTCTTGTATCACAAATTTTTCGTTGGTCGCTCATCGAATTCTTGTAAAATGTGGCTCAACCTTTGGGTCAAAGGTCAGCAATTTTCCATATCGTGTCAACAGCTCTTTCCAATAACAAGAAACGTCAGAAAATTTCAAATGTTTTGCAATGAAATCGTATCCATTTGACGCGATTTCCTTCGCGAGATCATCATTCCGCTTGAGAAACTCCAAAACTTCCCTGAAACGTAATCGCTGGACTGTGATTCAATGATTCATAAATCAAAATTAGCCACGAACCTGATTTTCTCTTCGGACGGATTATCAGGCAAAGGTACATAATGTATCCAAGGTTTTAATGCACTGTAGAAAAACTCCTGCCAATCGCTCCCGACGTGTATCACCAGACTTCCACACAGAAACAAATGTCGTAACCGAAAGCTCGCCGCAACGCCACGGAAGTTGAACAAATACTTGTACTTGCAATGCTTCTCAAACGAAACTTCGGGAGCCGGTTCTGCGTCCAACGTGTCCTACCGATCAATTTTGTAACATTTGATTGACATTATTTTGAAATTCGACGAAAATCATACCTTTGGCGATTTCCACGCTTGATTTTTCGTGTACATGGCTTCTACAAGATCCGGTTCCTTCCGTGAAAGAAGAACTAGACTGTCTCTTTCAGCACTGGTTCTGGACCCACGAAAAAAGCCTTGCGATATTTTCTGTCCCCACGGATGCCTTTTCGCCGCCTTTTGCAGCTCGACCCGAATCTGATCCCATCTAAAGCATCAACATTTTCAAGTTCGAAAAAAGTATGAAAACTCTGGAGAAAACTCACCTTCCGATGCCTGTAGGATACAGCGATATCGCTGGTCCACCGCTCCAGAAGGACCAAGCTGGATACATGATGTCTCCGTAAACTTTCGTCTGAAATTTATTTTTTTGCAGAAATGATCATTCACATACAATCTCGGACAATGCACGTCTTCTTTTTATACGAACAGGTCAAACAACTTGCTCACCTTGCTAAACGAGAAAACTGGAGGGAAATTTTCGCGTTTTGGAACTTTCGGCCAGTCGAAATCATTCACGACAAGCTCAACGTTTACGGACAATTCGGGAGAGATCATCTTGAAAAAGTATTCCACACCTTCGCACCGTGCGGGAAAAGTACATTTCCCATCACGATACACGCTGCCATTCGCAATGACGTAACGGACACCTCTGTAGATCCAATAAAAATTAATTCGAAGTATGAAAGGATTTACGATTCGGTCTTACTTGTTTAAAGCTTCAGCGAACTGCAACCTTGATACCCCATTTACAAAAGGAGCAAGGTCGGAAGTTATCGTTGAGAAAAAGCACGAGCAGTTCACTCCGCCACACGGTTGAAAACGCAATCGGGCTTCATCAACTTCTTGCCTCAGATCTGAAACAACTTTTGCTCCTGGAAGACACGTATACAATACACCTTCAACCCTAATATGATATGGCACATATCACATACCTTCAGAATATTTCTTGGCGAGATCGGCAGGACTTACGGCTTCTTCACATTCCGTTCGATCAACACACACATCACTATTAGCGGTTCCCGCAGAAAATACTCCACGCAACACCAACACACGAATCCATGTGATCAGCCATATGAGTTTCATATCAATAACGACAGGAACCGGTTCATCAGGTAAGACAGGCTCTGAAAAACTCCCGTTTTCACTCACAAATAACGTCGCCTGTTGAAAACATCACTTTAAAGCATCCGCAAAAATAATGGCAAATGGACGACTACTTATGAACACTGCAGGTCCATCGAACTTCACGATCAAACCAGAGACGAACACATTCATCGTCAAATTTAATCTTAACCTGAAACTTCGCAGAAATGTGATCCAATCACAACAATCACAGTCTTGTGCCTCCTCACCGTCCGCATACCGGTGTGGCAACTGTACAATTACTGGTAGTTCTCCATTCAGGAACAGCTCATCCAGTCCGGAAGATTGGAACAAAATGTGGTCATACACTGAGCGAGGCATTGCCATGCTTATAAATAAAGGTACACAACCTCGAATTTATTTGCTCGTGAATAGTGTGATGTCGTCATAATTTTTTGGCATGGAAAACTCAATGAAAATATCTTAGAATGAACTGCATATACCCTAAAATTTTGAGGGTGATACCACTATAGCAGAAAGATCAAAACTGCTACTGCTAGTTTGAGTCCAAAGATTTGACACATCACAAACATTTGCTGGAAGCAATCTGAAATGCCTTGCCCAATGATCAAAAATCAATCTTTAGTTTCATGGTTAATAAAATATTTATTATGCAAATTTGCAGTAATTTTTGGTTGGGGAATTTCATGGAACATCATTATTTATGCTTTGCTGAATTTTATACATGTCCTGCTGTTATATGCATGCTGCAAGTGATCAAAATTGTGAAAATTTGAAGAACTGAACCATAAAACAAACCAATGTAATAGGTTTCCACCCGCCATGTGCTGCATGGATACACAAATTACTTGAGTATATTAATAAGCCTGTTGCAACCTTTATATGGTGTTACAGAAATTTTTTTACAAACGTATTTCCTTCACTTCTGCTTTGAATGAGAAGTTTTCATCGCAATTCATTTGGTAAAAAAAACGTATATTTCAATGTGATTCACTTTATATTATTTCCTACATTAATTTAACAGTTGATGAAGAACCCAAAGAAGTTGTTAGGATTTTCTCATACATGTACCTTCAAGATACTTGTTCTTTTTTTTATTTACAATAAAAAAGCAGGCACCACATGTCTCAGCTGTAAATAATAAACACTAAAGCGCCCAGACAAGCCTAGGACCTCATTATTCTTCCCATGCAACCGGGTGCAAGATGCTGTTGTTATCCGTGGTATCTGGGCAAAAAGCTAAACACAAGTGGGACAAAAGCTTATCTCAGGGCTTTATATACTGAACTAGGTCTCATACTACAGGATCTTATTCCCCCGCTCAAAGATGCATTCCGGTCCCACTTCCATTTCCCTATTGTGTTTTATCTCTGTGAGACGTCTGCTGTTGACTTTGCTGCGCTTCTGTCCGAGAAGTTGAAATTGACAATCTATTAAAGCTGTGAGGTGCAAATGCGTGTTTTGACATATCAAGTGAAAATCGAGTGAAACATTCTCAAGATTGGAATAAGGGCTTTTTTCCTCTTGCTTAGATTTCATCAAGCCATGATATTTTTGAGGAGAAATTTTCATCTTGAATATGTATCTGAATTTCAGACTGACTAAAATTTTTGTTGACTGAAATGGTCAGTCAAATTAATTTGGCGTTATGTGGTGTTATTTTTCTCTGTGTTTTTGTAAGAACTTGCACTGGTGACAGTCCAGCAGAGAAAGAAGACAGTACAAGTGATGTACACTCTTTATTTATTCCCGCCCTTCAAAACGTTATTAAAGGTACAGTACAATATTATTGAATTTAAGTAGTCTGAACATATATTTCCATATCTTGCATGAATTCTGTGTTTCAGACTCATCAGCAAGTAATACTGAGATGATCAAAGATGCAGATGAAATCCAGGCTATGCATTTACACAAAGGTCCTCCTGAGTCAGTGGTTTGTAAGGACAGGATTCAAAAGTGTAAATAGATGTGTACTCTTTGCATATTGTTTTTATCTCTGCAGCCCAGATTGATATTGGATCATGGTTACCCAGTGGAAACTCATGATGTAACAACAGCTGATGGGTACATTTTGGAGATGCACAGAATTCCACATGGAATTGTTCCTGGTTCAGGGCCTGGAGAGGGTTCAAAGACTCCTATTTTGCTGGCACATGGTCTCATGTGTTCTTCAGCTATTTGGGTGTTCAGTGGTCCAAAATATGCTTTAGGTCAGTTTTTTATACTGAGAACAGTATTACAAAATCATGAAGTTCAGAAACATTCCTATTTATCACTGACATTAATTTTCATTAGGGTCCCTGAATATAATGACAGACTAATTTAAATTAATATTTTGCATAAAGAAAATGCGCCAAATGTCATTCCAAAAAAGATGACTTGTTCACATAATATATTTCTGGCAGCGCCATTTTTTGTACAGAAAATGCAATCACTTCAGTTGGTTTGATTTGAACTTTCAACATTATACAAAAAAATGTAGAAGCTGTGAGTTCAAAGTTCTGAAATCCTGGCTAATGCTGGACAGTAGATTATATTTACATGTGTAAAGGTCTATTATGAATAATTTTTGAGTGTATACAGTACCTGTACAGTATTTGAAAATAATTACATATTTTTCATAAAAAATAAAAAATTGAACTGTATAGTAATAGTCAACCTGATGGAATTAATTTGATGCATCACGCAGATACCCATTTTATAAACAGATTAGCTAACTTTGCAGTAAAAATTTTATTCTCATGATTTTCTTGATACAATTATGTATTTTATGTTTCAGCTTATATGCTGGCTGATGCTGGCTTTGATGTCTGGCTGGGGAATGTCAGAGGCAACACATACTCTGCAAGGCATACTAAGCTCTCAACTGATGAAACTGCATTTTGGGAGTTTGGGTGAGCAGCATGAACACAAAATCACTGCACAGACAAAAAAAAATAGAAAATTATGTTGGGCTTCACAGGATTGATGAACATGGATATTTTGATGCTCCTGCACAAATAGACCACATCACTGCCACAACTGGAGCCCAAAAAATGTTCTATGTTGGATATTCCATGGGGGCAACCATGTTCTACATAATGAGTGACATGAGACCAGAGTACAGAGAGAGATTCATTGCAATGTTTGCTCTTGCTCCTGCAGCCCAAATGAGTCACACCACAAGCATATTCAAGCGCATTGCTGACTACTATGACTTCATAGATGTAAGTCAAATATTCCACTGGGTCCCTGTATAGAATTGCTATAGCCAGGCTTTTAACAAATTTGCTGAACAACTGCCAGTGTGGTATAGTAACTCATTTAAAAATAAAGAAAGTTTTTTTTTACTAAGCGTACTTCAGAAATTCATCAGCCAATGTAATTACTGTAAAGTCAATTTTTTTATTTTGATATGGCTTGGGTTGGTTCTTTGCATTCTTTTTCACAATTTCCTAATCACTTATAAAAGTTTACTGAAATTAAAAACCAATGTTCTATGAGACATCACTTGTGATGCTTTGGACATTGGCAATATCTGCACAATTTTAAGAAGCTGTGAGTTCATTTGATTCATTGGAAATATTTTCACAATTATGCTAATGTTCCAGGACTTTAGTAACTAAGTTTTCTAAAATTTAAAATTATTTCCTCCAGCTAACTCCTCCCACAAATATAGTAAACTGTACTAGAATGAATGCTACACTTTGGTCTGTGCCTAAAAATTCAGCATCCTAAATTGAGCAGTGTGAGACAGATTCATCTAAAAATTATTTGAAACAATTATGTGCCCCAGAACATATAAGTTGAAAATTTTAATGTACAGAAACGTTTTGGTAGATATTTTAAGGCTCAATTTAAGTTTGGGAATGAATTAATTATTGTAATATGTAATCCTAAGATGAACATGGTTATTTTTAAGAATAGACTTGTTTAACAGCTTTCCTCCTCTGGAACAAATTTTGGTTGTTAAACAAGAGCTCACTATATTTTTCAGGAAAAAATTAGCAACTCATTTTTTAAATATTTGAATTCCATATGCAGGGGTTTCTAGATTTATTTGGAATCAACCATCTGCTGCAAAATAGCTTTCCAGTGAAGCTGTTCAACTACATATTTTGCAGCCATATGACCATTGATCTCTGCAAATATGGACTTCTCATGTTGACAGGTTTTGACATCATGGATCTCAACCAGGTGCAAATAAAAACCTTTTAAATACAAAACCAATTTATTCACTTGATTTAATTTAATTTTTAAAAATTGACAGGAGATTGATGATGAAATGGCACCCGTCTTCTTCAAGCATCTTCCAGCTGGAGCATCTCGACATTCAGTCATGCAATTCGCAGCCAGTGTTATTTCAGGAAAATTCACGAAATATGATTACGGTTCGTTCGATAATGAACACGTTTATGGGCAAGAAGAAGCACCTGAATATAAAATTGAAAAATCAACTACACCGGCGCTGATTTACTGGGCTGAAAATGATTCCCACACAGCCCCGGAGGTGAGAATAATTTTCTCCTCTTCTATATCGTGCAGAAAAATTATATATATACAATTTATATACATTTGTTTTTGCAGGATGTGGAGTGGATCAAGGAGAGATTGCCCAATGTTGTGGAATTTCGAAAGATTGACGTGGACGGTTTCAATCACCTGGACTTTGTGTGGTCAAAGAAGGCGAAAGATGCGCTTTATACACATATGCTGGACAAGGCATTAATATTGGATAGAAGGAATAAATCTGCATCATAAGAAGGAGTGTCTTATACAGTAATTTATTTGTTATTACGCTGTGAAGGGTACATGTGAATATGTGATATCATATTGCAGAAAAAAAGTCATGCTACTGATGCCATACAAATTACTTTTTTATGCTGTAGACTTATTCAGACTGTAGATTATTCACTTTTGCACTAATGAAAATTAGTTTTAAAAATGTACACCAGCTGCAGACGACAAGGCAAAAATGACAATCGTGTTCTCTACTTGGTATACACAATGGACACAAAGTCAGTTTTTCAAAACTTATCTTGAACAAATGGTAAACAAATGTATATACAGTATTTCAATCTTGAAAAAATATCATAGTTGGCTTCTAAAAACCTCAAAAACAAGTGGTTGAATGTGAAAAAATCAGGAGAAAATCCAATTATTTACAAATTCTAATTTTTGTGAAAAACCTGTTATCCTTATTTCCTAAGAAATACAAGAATTGGTGAGTCTTAAATAAATTCTTACTATTATGTCTAACAGCAAGTTTATTACCAACCTCAAATCCTGAGACAACAATTCTTATCCTGGTCTCAATTAATATCTTCCGCATACTTTGTGGGCCAAAGGTTTTTTAGATAGTTCAAATAAACGTATACTCCAAGATCTCATGTAGAGAGGCAATAATATATTTCAGTGCAGTACACAACAGTCTGTCGCAAAAGCTCAGGCACAAATGCTGAAGAGTATAGTGTTGCATGGAAGTTTAAAGAGCCACGGTGGTCAGCCATCAGGTTACTCAACTCATAGGCTGACGCACAAAAAGAAATATACACACACATAAGAGGACAGTGGCGCCCTCAATTGCTGGCCTCAAAACTCATGACAATGCAAAGTTTTGTATGCTCCCTTTTTGGAAAGGGGAAGAGAAAAGAGAAAACACACAAGAAATATTGGGAGCCTGCACACGCAGCGCGACCCATAAAAATACCTTAGGATCACAAACCTCATTGATTTTCCTCTGTCAGCATTTCCCAGTTGCATGATGGGGTCTATATCAGTGTTCCCCAATCTTGTTGGGTCCATGGACCAGCAGAGGAAATACAGCCGACCAGCAAAAATTCATAAAATGTTCACAGACTCAAAAAAGTTTTGCTTGCAAGACTCTATGGCAGGCATTCAAAAAGTGTCTTCTTCTCTGCAAAAATTAAGAGCCAATGAATCTGCTATAAATTTGAATATATTTTTTTAAAAATAGAAATGTGGGCTTGAAGCAAGGTTTTTCAGAATGAAAAATATAGAATGAATCATTTCAGCAGGTGAAAATTTGTCTGAAGTTTTGTTACAAGAAAAGCTAACTTATACTTTTTCATCAGATTATTTCAACCACCACAGTCTTTCCAACATTTCAGATTAAAATAAGAGTTTAATGTCACTTTTCTTAATTTATTCTGCATCATAAAATTTCCTGCAGACTGACAAAAACTTCTATAGATTGGCACCAGTCCATGGACCATAGGTTGGGGTTGTGGGGATCAATGGTCTACATACAGTATTTCCCTTTTTGAGGCATTCTTATCTTTGCCAGTCATTTGCAATAAAAAAGGCATGATGATTCTTCTATTATGAGATTCATGACAGAAGTGCAGTATGTTTTCAAAGTTCAGTGTGGAATTTGAACTCATAAATCCAATTGCCAAAATAATCCTTCAAGTATATACTGTACATATCAGGCAGCTTTATTCTTAGAGAAGGAGCATGAATTAGTGCCAAAAAATTACCACAATACCAAATATATAGGGTGATCAAAAGAGGAGACCGATTTTAAATTTCAATCTACTGTACAGGAGAATGGAAAGAAACTCCAAAAGTCTCTGCCTCAAATTGTCCCTGTGTACATTCATAAGTTTCTGTTTCAAATTGGCCCTGTCTCAAATTGGACCAGTCTCAAAGTGGCCTTGTCTCCAATTGTCTGTATCAATTTTGTCCTAGATATGCAGACTATTTCTGAGGTTGGCAGAATTCATGCGGCTTTTTTTTCTTTTCTACCAGACCTGACTGGTGAAAAAAAAAACCGCGATCCAGGCATTTTAACGTCAAAACGGCGGTTACAGAGAACGTACCACGTATCCAACTGACGTCATCTTATGAATTCACACTCAAAGTTAACCTGTCTCCAATTATCTGTCTCAATTTTGTCCTATAGATCTGCACATTATTTCTGAGGTTGGAAAAATTCATTTGGCTTTCTGTCCCATTTCCACGAGACTTGGCTAGTGAAAAAAAAACGCATTCCAGGCATTTCAACGTCAAAACGGCGGTTACAGGGAATGTACCACGTATCTAACTGCCGTCATCTTATGAATTCACACAAAATATGTCCTGTTAGATCATCCCACTTTCCACATTCAAAAACAAGCTGAAAGAAAATCCACACCTGGAGCTGATAACGCGAAAATATTGCGCCCGATTAAAAAACTCTCGAGATAATAGCAAATAAAAGTCAAGAAAAGTAGAATGACAATTTTCACTTTCGCTGCAGGACTAAAAATAACTCATCATTATAAACTTGAATTTGTTTTTTAATGAGACGATGTTTTTCATAGTTCGTTACAGTGAATGAATCAGTCTTGAGGCAACTGTAAAATTATTAAACATTGCAACACATTTTCTTGCAGGCTCGCACTCAGCGTGACGAGAAAAAAATGGCAAAAATTGCTTGCATATTAGCAATCATTGTTGCCGTAGTAAGTTTGTCATCCGCTGCTCCAGCATCGGAAAACAATCCAACATGGACTCTGGCAAGAAGCATGATTCAAACAAAACTGCATAAAATGCTGGCAAACATTCCTCCAGAAATCATTGATCAAATCAATGCTGGTATAATGACGCATTCCCCTGCGAAGCGTGAAGAAGAAGCTGACAACAACATTCCAACAGTGAGTATAAAAATTGCATTGCACGCAAATTCTGTTACAATAAATCGATTTTCGCCATAAAATGTTTCAAACTTCCTGCTAAAAAAAAACACAATAAATAGACTATTAAATGGTACATAAAAATGTTGCCTTACTGAATTGTATGAGCAATCGATTTTGGCACAGTTTTTACAATTTCTCAAACAAATGTAGCTTTCACTATGAAGGTATAATTCCGCATAAAATATTTGATATCCATGAAAGGATCAATAATTTTAATTCAAAAATTACCTGAAGACTTCGATAAGAAACATTGATAAAATTTGTGTCTTGGAAAGTTTTTTTTTACTTAAAAATCATTATATTACTACAAGAAAACATTAGTAGAGACTTTTAAAACTGGTAATTTGAGAAATTTTTCAGTGTTTTCCGTCAGGAAAAATCTTAATTTTTTTTTAAATATTTCCTTCAATACGTCAAAAACATTACATTGAACAATTGATCTGATTTCATAAAAGTTCATCAAATTCTGATTGTGGTACAGGTGGTACCTTGAAATTCAGCCCTAATCCAGTGTCAAACTAGGGTCAATTTGCAAAGTGGTTGAATTGCAAAACATTTCATGAAATTCAAAAATATCAGTGCAAAAATGCAAAAAAGTGGCCAAAGCAGGTCAAATTGTGGGGCAAGGGTTCAATTTCAAGTCAACCTCCCTGGAAATTTGACTGTCAAATTGTGGGAGGCTGAATTGCAATATAACACTTTTTGGCAATATATCATATGCATCAATGAAAAATCCAATGCCAATGACGTATTTTTCTTGCATTTATTTGAATATCAGCCACAAATGATTGCCAATGAGGGGTATCCAGCAGAAATCCATTCAGTCACAACAGAAGATGGGTACATCTTACAAATGCACAGAATTCCTCATGGTCTGGCTCCTGGGTCTGGGCCTGGTGAAGGAACCAAGACGCCAGTTTTTGTTCAGCATGGGTTACTGTGTTCATCAGCTGACTGGGTTGTCACAGGCCCTTCAGAAGCTTTAGGTAGCGTATTGCAAGAAAAAGAATGAAAACACTTTTGCAAATTTTTTTTCTCATTACATAGGCTACAAATTGGCTGATGCTGGTTATGATGTTTGGCTTGGAAACATCAGAGGAAACACTTACTCCAAAAATCACGTTTCCCTATCTCCTGATGAGTCTGAATTCTGGCAGTATGAGTGAGTAAATTTTGAAGTCATACACTAATAAAATGTGTAACTATATAACGTCTGCAGGTTTTGATCATACAATAGTTGTTTGAAGGCAGTGGCTAGTTTTATCACTAATTTTAAAATGTGTAATATTATTTTTAAAAAATTTTGTCATCAGAAGTCTGGTTTTTACAATTATGCAATGGATCTCCATTCTCTCAAATGAATGAATGAACAGAAAACTTTATTTGCTGTTTTTCAGCGTTCACAAGGCACAACCAAGACTCCCGCATCCAGTTCTTTCAAAAGTTTCCTAAATAATTTTGATATGCTTCCTCAGCATCATTATTTTGGTTGTCACCTAAAGTTTCATATTTTAGGAATTAAAAGCCCGGAAAAGTAAAAATTTGGGTTTTGAATGTTCTATTACTCAGTTGGGACCAGCATGGCAAATATGATGTCCCAGCAATGATGGACAAAATCAGTGATGTATCTGGTAAACAAGACATGTTTTACATTGGTCACTCCATGGGCACAACAATGTTCTGGGTGATGAGCAATGAAAGACCAGAGTATAGAGACAGGATCAAGGGTATGTTTGCATTGGCACCAGTGGCCAGAGTGGATCACATGTTATCCCCCATCAGCTACATTGCACCATTTGTGGATGAAGTCAATGTGAGCAAGCTAAACATAATTCGTTTTTGTATTGATTTCAAATTTTGGCTGATCAACTTAATTTCTTATAGTGGATAATGACACTCTTTGGATTGGATGAATTCTTGCCCAGTGACGCAGGAATAAACATTTTGGCTGATCTGTTCTGCATTCCTGGAGGATGGATTCAGGATGTTTGCTCTAATATCCTCTTTATTCTCTGTGGATATGATGAACCCCAGCTTCCCCAGGTGAGGAAAAACTTTAACCTTTGGGCAGCATCAGTGCCAGGTTTTATCTGCAAATTTTGTGCCCAAGGAGTAGAAGAAAGTATAAAACAAAAATTATTATAGAAGAGGCAAAGTTGAAAAACAAATCCCACATGTTTTGTAGCATTCCTGCAGAAAAAAAATTTATCAAAAAGGAAAGAATGCACTGTTGGGTGGCATTTTTTCTGCATTCCTGTGGATGTAGGATAAGCATTGAGGGATTTGCAGAACAATTGCTTTCCCTTTCCCAGATTTTCCCCAACTTTGGCTACTCAGCTAAATAAGCCACATTGGTGAAACCAAAATGTACAAGAGTACAAAAGAATTGCAGCACTGCTGTGTGATGGAAGAGGACCCACCACCACCCAAGGGTTAAGAAGAACTGAAATGAATTCAAATAACATACAACTTTTGTTATACTATAGGAATTACTGCCCACCATTTTGGGACACACGCCTGCTGGAACTTCAACACGGACAATAGTTCATTATGCTCAGGGAGTAAATTCTGGTGCCTTCCAGAAATATGACTTTGGACCAAGTGGGAACATGGATGCCTATGGAGCACCCTATCCACCAGAATATGACAGAGACATGATCACCTCACCAGTATATGCATACTGGGCAGACAATGACTGGTTGGCTCACCCAGAGGTTTGTTAGAAAAAGACTGAACTGATCAAGATGGGGAAAAAACTGTAAATTACTCCTTTCTTTTTGAAGGATGTTGCTTGGTTGATGAGAGGGCTTCCAAATCTTCAGTTGGACTACAGGGTGCCCCTTGACATGTTCAACCATTTGGACTACCTATGGGCCATTGATGTGGATATTCTTGTGTATGCTGACCTGATGGAAAAGATGAAGGCTGCTGATAATTGAATTTTGCCTGCCAACATTTTTGAATTCATGATGAAATGAACTTTTTAATTTCTACAACCTTTTTGCCTCCTGCTCATGCAAAGAAGATGTTAAACTGGTTATCTCCTATTCAGTAATATTGTACATGGATTTTCCATTGAGGATGTTTTGAACAACTGAAATTATGAAACAAATGCGCATTTGCTTAATGCATCAATTGGTTTCATTTTCAAGTACAGTACTTTATTTCAAGTTCAACATATTTTCCCTAATACAAATTTGTCAGGATTGTGTCAGAATTTCAAGTTTCTTCTATTTATTGATCATCAATGAAAATTGAAAATTAGATTTCATTTCCTAATAAATTTTTAAGTTTAACCAGCTACAATCTATTTGGGTTTGAAATTAATGAACTGCATTTTCCAATCCATGTGGTGCACAAGGAAGCTTCAAATTCACAATAAATGAATCCATCCAGATGCAGACTTGTTTTGAACAGTTCAAATATTATTGTGCAAATATCTTCCAAAATAGAAACAAATAACCCTGTGTCACTACTTCAATCAGGGCTGTTAATTTTCTTCTTTTGTTTACTTCTATTGTAAATTGTAACACGCATAAAAGACAAATGCCATGCTGCTGTGCAAAATCATAGGTAGCACCCCTTTTTAAAATGAGTGAGGCAAGGTGAGGCAAAAAATTGAAACACGTCAATGGGTTGGTGGGCAAACAACCTGAGGGATTCACAATCCCAAGAAATAAGCACAAACTGTAAATTCTTGCTCCCAAGCAAAAATTGAAACAGAGATTCACTTTTCTTAAAAACAGAAAAAAAGGTATGGAAACAGTCTTAGTTTTGAAGACCTTTGTCTGTCCAGCATATCCTTCTTCAGGAGAGAGTCTGAATTGGGTTTTTGGAACCTCAGGTCCCTTTTATACCTGGGCAAATAATTGGCAGAAAAGATGAGATTGTCCAGAAAAGCAGTTACCGACAATGCTAACAAAGCAGTTGATAACTCAGGCGGTTTTGACTTCTGGGAGAGTTTTCCCATATTGATAGCCAACCTGGTTCTTTTCCAAGCACATTAAAAAAAATGCTCTGGGAGGTGAGGAGGAAGAGGAGATCCCCCTTTTTCTTAGGATTGGGTTGTTAGAAACCTGATTTGACTTCCCAGCAGCCACCTGGGGTTTTTGTTTTTGCCCCTCCTCTGAGTAATATGAGGAGAGAAATTTTTCTCAAACTCCTCCTGCCAAAACAGAGTTTTGAAGTTGGGTTTTATGACCCAACTTTTGTGTTGGTTTATAGCTTAGGCAACAGCAAATTTATTGCTGTTGCCGTTTTTGGCAGTTACGCAAGCTCTTATGCCTGTGCAGAAGTGGTGTTTCCTGCAAATTCTTCATTGGAAATTGTTGTGGGTTGACTAGGTGTTGCCCAGAGCAAACAAGATTGCACCATGAAACAACTAGATGTTGCTCACGTTTGCGCTATGTTGCATAGAAGCAACTGTATCAGGTCAACATTCTAACAACAATGAAAGGCAATCAATACATCAAAGCAGATCATCAAGTATTGAAGCATCATCCCAAAATGAGCAATTCAAACCCCGCTCTGACTTAAAATTTTGTCCAGCCTACAGGACGTCAAACAAAGGAAATAATTGGCAATCAATGGTATTTCCATGTCCGTTTTGTCATAAACAACATACAGCATTTAATTGTGATTTCACACAATACCAACGCCATAATGCTGCAACAAGGCAAAATATTTGTTACAATTGTCCTTGATGTCTCCTCCATCCATTTCTGATTTGTTGGCCTTGGTGTTTCCATTTTGGATGTTGAGGTTGGTATGCTCCTGTTATTGGTGTGGTTCTTTTAGTTTTAGTTCAGCGTTTTCAGAGTGAGTCCAAGTCTTGCATGTGACATGTCAGCACACTCTTCCAGTGTGTTAGGCGTTTTCTCCAATGTGAGAGGAATTTTGATGTGGCGTATGTGCCGTATATTTTTTTCCATACGGCTTATGTGCCAGTTTCACCCATGGTCATTCCTCAAACCAAGGGTTTGAGGAAGACTGCCGATTTGGACACCAATTTGGAGCTGTCCTTGAATTATTGGGAAGACCAGAGTGTGGTGGAACTCTTGGTACTGGAGGATGACGGCAACCTGGACCAATTTCTTGAAGAATGTGAGTTCCTTGGGATATAGTGCGATTGCCCACGTGTGTCTTCATTCTTTCTCAAATTTGCAGGGAACTCTTGCAAATCCTTTTGGATTGGGTCCAATTGCCCAAGTATAGGAGGGATTGGATCCAGTTTAATCAGATGCAAAATAATCCTCCAAGTATATACTGTATATATAAGGCAGGTTTATTCTCAGAGAACAAGCATGCATTAGTGCCAAAAAATTTGCACAATGCCAAATATAGGGTGATCAAAAGAGGAGACCAATTTTAAATTTCAATCCACTGTACAGGAGAATGGAAAGAAACTCCAAAAGTCTCTGTCTCAAACTGTCCCTGAGTCCATAAGTTTCTGTCTCAAATTGGACCAGTCTCAAAGTTAACCTGTCTCCAATTATCTCTGTATCAGGTCAACATTCTAACAACAATGAAAGGCAATCAATACATCAAAGCAGATCATCAAGTATTGAAGCATCATCCCAAAATGAGCAATTCAAACCCCGCTCTGACTTAAAATTTTGTCCAGCTTACAGGACGTCAAACAAAGGAAATAATTGGCAATCAATGGTACAGTATTTCCATGTCCATTTTGTCATAAACAACATACAGCATTTAATTGTGATTTGACACAATATCAACGCCATAATGCTGCAACAAGGCAAAATATTTGTTACAATTGTCCTTGATGTCTCCTCCATCCATTTCTGATTTGTTGGCCTTATTGGTGTTTCCATTTTGGATGTTGAGGTTGGGATGCTCCTGTTATTGGTGTGGTTCTTTCAGTTTTAGTTCAGCGTTTTCAGAGTGAGTCCAAGTCTTGCATGTGACATGTCAGCACACTCTTCCAGTGTGTTAGGCGTTTTCTCCAATGTGAGAGGAATTTTGATGTGGCGTATGTGCTGTATATTTTTCCATACGGCGTATGTGCCAGTTTCACCCCTGGTTATTCCTCAAACCCTTGGTTTGAGGAAGACTGCTGATTTGGACACCAATTTGGAGCTGTCCTTGACTTATTATTGGGAAGACCAGTGTGTGGTGGTACTGGAGGATGACGGCAACCTGGACCAATTTCTTGAAGAATGTGAGTTCCTTGGGATATAGTGCGATTGCCCACGTGTGTCTTCATTCTTTCTCAAATTTGCAGGCTTGCAAATCCTTTTGGCTTGGGTCCTGTTGCTCAGGTCGGAGGGATTGGATCCAGTTTAATCAGATGCAAAATAATCCTCCAAGTATATATTGTATATACAAGGCAGCTTTATTCTCAGAGAAGGAGCATGCATTAGCGCCAAAAAATTTACACAATACCAAATATACAGGGTGATCAAAAGAGGAGACCAATTTGAAATTTCAATCCACTGTACAGGAGAATGGAAAGAAACTCCAAAAGTCTCTGTCTCAAACTGTCCCTGAGTCCATAAGTTTCTGTCTCAAATTGGACCAGTCTCAAAGTTAACCTGTCTCCAATTATCTGTCTCAATTTTGTCCTATAGATCTGCACATTATTTCTGAGGTTGGAAAAATTCATTTGGCTTTCTGTCCCATTTCCACGAGACTTGGCTAGTGAAAAAAAATCAAAGTTAACCTGTCTCCAATTATCTGTCTCAATTTTGTCCTATAGATCTGCACATTATTTCTGAGGTTGGAAAAATTCATTTGGCTTTCTGTCCCATTTCCACGAGACTTGGCTAGTGAAAAAAAACGCATTCCAGGCATTTTAACGTCTAAACGGCGGTTACAGGGAATGCTGTACCACGTATCTAACTGCCGTCATCTTATGAATTCACACAAAATATGTCCTGTTAGATCATCCCACTTTCCACATTCAAAAACAAGCTGAAAGAAAATCAACACCTGGAGCTGATAACGCGAAAATATTGCGCCCGATTAAAAAACTCTTGAGATAATAGCAAATAAAAGTCAAGAAAAGCAAAATGACAATTTTCACTTTCGCTGCAGAACTAAAAATAACTCATCATTATAAACTTGAATTTTTTTTTTTAAATGAGACGATGTTTTTCATAGTTTGTTACAGTGAATGAATCAGTCTTGAGTCAACTGTAAAATTATTAAATATTGCAACACATTTTCTTGCAGGCTCACACTCAGCGTGAAGAAAAAAATGGCAAAAATTGCTTGCATATTAGCAATCATGGTTGCCATAGTAAGTTTGTCATCCGCTGCTCCAGCATCGGAAAACAATCCAACATGGACTCTGGCAAGAAGCATGATTCAAACAAAACTGCAGAAAATGCTGGCAAACATTCCTCCGGAAATCATTGATCAAATCAATGCTGGTATAATGACGCATTCCCCTGCAAAGCGTGAAGAAGCAGAAGCTGACAACAACATTCCAACCGTGAGTAGAAATTGTAATGCACGCAAAATTCTGTTTTAAAAATTGGATTTGCGCAATAAAATGTTTAAAACTTCCTGCTGAAAAACACAATAAATAGACTATTAAATGGCACAGAAAAATGTTGCCTTACTGAATTATATGGGCAATTCATTTTTGGCACAGTTTTTACAATTTCTCAAACAAATATGGCTTTCACTATGAAGGTATAATTCCGCATAAAATATTTGATATCCATGAAAGGATCAATAATTTTAATTCAAAAATTACCTGAAGACTTCAATAAGAAAAATTGATAAACTTTTTGTCTTGGAAAGTTTTGTTACTTAAAATATCATTATATTACTATAACAAGAAAACATTAGTAGAGACTTTTAAAACTGGTAATTTGAGAAATTTATCAGTGTTTTCTGTCAGGAAAAATCTTAATGTTTTGTATAATTTCCTTCAATAGGTCAAAAACATCACATTAAAACATTGATCTGATTTCATAAAACTTCATCAAATTCTGATTGTGGTACAGGTGGTACCTTGAAATTCAGCCCTAATCCATTGCCAAACTAGGGTCAATTTGCAAAGAGGTTTAATTGCAAGAAATTTCAAGAAATTCAAAAATATCAGTACAAAAACGCAAAAAAGTGGCCAAAGCAGGTCAAATTGTGGGGCGAGGGTTCAATTGCAAGTCAACCTCCCTGGAAATTTGACTGTCAAGTTGTGGGAGGTTGAATTGCAATTTAACACTTTTTGGCAATATATCATATGCATCAATGAAAAATCCAATGCCAATGACGTATTTTTCTTGCATTTATTTGAATATCAGCCACAAATGATTGCCAACGAGGGGTATCCTGCAGAAATCCATTCAGTCACAACAGAAGATGGGTACATCTTACAAATGCACAGAATTCCTCATGGTCTGGCTCCTGGGTCTGGTCCTGGTGAAGGATCCAAGACGCCAGTTTTTGTTCAACATGGGTTACTGTCTTCATCAGCTGACTGGGTTGTCACAGGCCCTTCAGAAGCTTTAGGTAATAGGGTATTGAAAAAAACATAATGAGAGCACTTTGGAAAATAATTTTTTCATTACATAGGCTACAAATTGGCTGATGCTGGTTATGATGTTTGGCTTGGAAACAGCAGAGGAAACACTTACTCCAAAAATCATGTTTCTCTATCTCCTGATGAGTCTGAATTCTGGCAGTTTGAGTGAGTAAATTTTGAAATCATACCCTAATGAAATGTGTTACTATAACGGCTGCAGGTTTTGATCATACAATATTTACCGTATTCACTTGAGTACCACGCGCACCTTTTTTCTAAAATTTCAGAAGAAAAAAAGGGGTGTGCGTCATACGCAGGTACAAAATTTTCAAGAAGTTTTTGGAAGTTGTGTGTTAATTATACTTGATTATAATGGAGAAATGTGTGACAAATGTTGAAATGTACCAAGAAAACTTTTTTTTACTGAAAAATTTGAAAATTGATCAGATTCATGTTCAATTCACACCAAAAGTCAATTTTTTTTGTTTTTATTTTCAAAATTTTGCGGTTTTAGAGTCGCTAAAAATGGGGTGTGCTTCTTACTTGGGGATGCAATTTTATTCAAATTTTGAACTGAAAAACCCCTGTGCGTGCCTTACTTGAGGGCGTGGGGTACTCGAGTAAATACAGTATTTGATGGCATTGGCATGTTTTTAATCAAGAATTTTAAATTGTGTAACACAACTTTAAAAAATTGTTGTTGTCAGAAGTCTGGTTTTTTCAAATATGTAATAGATCTCCATTCTCTCAAAAGTTTCCTAAATAATTTTGATATGCTTCCTCAGCATCATTAATTTGGTTGTCACTAAAGTTTCACATTTTAGGAATTGAAAGCCAGGATGAGTAAAAATCTGGGTTTTAAATGTTTAATTACTCAGTTGGGACCAGAATGGCTTATATGATGTCCCAGCTATGATGGACAAAATCAGTGATGTATCTGGTAAACAAGACAACAAAATGTAACCAGTGAGGTACCCGTGTTGTTACAAGACCCACTACTCGTTACTTTCTGGTCTCATGTCTCTGTCCTAGTTCCCATTGTTTGCATTGGCACCAGTGGCCAGAGTGGATCACATGTTGTCCCCCATCAGCTACATTGCACCATTTGTGGATGAAATCAATGTGAGTAAGCTAAGCATTATAATTTGTTTTTGTATTGATTTCAAATTTTGGCTGATCAACTTAATTTCTTATAGTGGATAATGACACTCTTTGGATTGGATGAATTCTTGCCCAGTGACATAGGAATAAACATTTTTGCTGATCTGTTCTGCATTCCTGGAGGATGGATTCAGGATGTTTGCTCTAATATCCTCTTTCTTCTTGGTGGATATGATGAACCCCAGCTTCCCCAGGTGAGGAAGCAACTTTAACTCTTGGGCAGCAGTGCCAAGATTTATCTGCAAATTTTTTGCCACAAGGAGTAGAAGAAAGCATAAAAAAGAATGATTAGAAGAGGCAAAGTTGGAAAAAAATCCCGAAGTTTTTTTTTAGCATTCCTTAAGAAAAAAATCATCAAAAAAGAAAGAACTCACTGTTGGGTGGCATTTTTTCTGCATTCCTGCTGTAGGATTATAGCATTGAGGGGTTTGCAGAACAATTGCTTTCCCTTTCCCAGATTTTCCCCAACTTTGGCTACTCAGCTAAAGCCACATTTTGGTGACCTTTGGTCAAACAAAAATGCACAAGAGTACAAAAGAATTTCAGCACTGCTGTGGGATGGAAAAGGACTCACCACCACCCAAGGTTTAAGAAGAACTGAAATGAATTCAAATAACATACAACGTTTGTTTTACTGTAGGATTTACTGCCGACCATTTTGGGACACGTACCAGCTGGAAGTTCAACAAGGACAATAGTTCACTATGCTCAGGGAGTAAACTCTGGTGCCTTCCAGAAATATGACTTTGGACCAAGTGGGAACATGGATGCCTATGGAANTGATAAACTTTTTGTCTTGGAAAGTTTTGTTACTTAAAATATCATTATATTACTATAACAAGAAAACATTAGTAGAGACTTTTAAAACTGGTAATTTGAGAAATTTATCAGTGTTTTCTGTCAGGAAAAATCTTAATGTTTTGTATAATTTCCTTCAATAGGTCAAAAACGTCACATTAAAAAATTGATCTGATTTCATAAAACTTCATCAAATTCTGATTGTGGTACAGGTGGTACCTTGAAATTCAGCCCTAATCCATTGCCAAACTAGGGTCAATTTGCAAAGAGGTTGAATTGCAAGAAATTTCAAGAAATTCAAAAATATCAGTACAAAAACGCAAAAAAGTGGCCAAAGCAGGTCAAATTGTGGGGCGAGGGTTCAATTGCAAGTCAACCTCCCTGGAAATTTGACTGCCAAATTGTGGGAGGCTGAATTGCAAGGTACCACCTGTAACATTTTAGCACTTTTTGGCTATATATCATCTGCATCAATAAAAAATCCAATGCCAATGACATATTTTTCTTGCATTTCTTTGAATATCAGCCACAAATGATTGCCAATGAGGGGTATCCAGCAGAGATCCATTCAGTCACAACAGAAGATGGGTACATCTTGCAAATGCACAGAATTCCTCATGGTCTGGCTCCTGGGTCTGGGCCTGGTGAAGGAACCAAGACGCCAGTTTTTGTTCAACATGGGTTACTGTCTTCATCAGCTGACTGGGTTGTCACAGGCCCTTCAGAAGCTTTAGGTAGGGTATTGAAAAAAACATAATGAGAGCACTTTGGTAAATAATATTTTTCGTTACATAGGCTACAAATTGGCTGATGCTGGTTATGACGTTTGGCTCGGAAACAGCAGAGGAAACACTTACTCCAAAAATCACGTTTCTCTATCTCCTGATGAGTCTGAATTCTGGCAGTTTGAGTGAGTAAATTTTGAAATCATACCCTAATAAAATGTGTTACTATAACGTCTGCAGGTTTTGATCATACAATATTTACCCTATTTACTTGAGTACCACATGCACCTTTTTTCTAAAATTTCAGAAGAAAAAAGGGGTGTGCGTCATACGCAGGTACAAAATTTTCAAGAAGTTTTTGGAAGTTGTGTGCTAATTATACTTGATTATAATGGAGAAATGTGTGACAAATGTACCAAAAAAATTGTTTTACTGAAAAATTTGAAAATTGATCAGATTCATGCTCAATTCACACCAAAAGTCAAATTTTTGGTTTTTATTTTCGAAATTTTGTGGTTTTAGAGTCCCTAAAAATGGGGTGCGCGTCTTACTTAAGGAAACAATTTTATCCAAATTTTGAACTGAAAAATCCCTGTTACTTGAGGGCGCTGGGTACTCCAGTAAATATGGTATTTGATGGCATTGGCATGTTTTTAATCAAGAATTTTAAATTGTGTAACACAATTTTAAAAATTGTTGTTGTCAGAAGTCTGGTTTTTTCAAATATGTAATGGATCTCCATTCTTTCAAAAGTTTCCTAAATAATTTTTATATGCTTCCTCAGCATCATTAATTTGGTTGTCACTAAAGTTTCACATTTTAGGAATTGAAAGCCAGGATGAGTAAAAATCTGGGTTTTAAATGTTTAATTACTCAGTTGGGACCAGAATGGCTTATTTGACACTCTTTGGATTGGATGAATTCTTGCCCAGTGACATAGGAATAAACATTTTTGCTGATCTGTTCTGCATTCCTGGAGGATGGATTCAGGATGTTTGCTCTAATATCCTCTTTCTTCTTGGTGGATATGATGAACCCCAGCTTCCCCAGGTGAGGAAGCAACTTTAACCCTTGGGCAGCAGTGCCAGGATTTATCTGCAAATTTTGTGCCACAAGGAGTAGAAGAAAGCATAAAACAAGAATGATTAGAAGTGGCAAAGTTGGAAAAAATCCCAAATTTTTTGTAGCATTCCTGAAGAAAAAAAATAAAAAAAAAATAATTCACTGTTGGGTGGCATTTTTCTGCATTCCTGCTGTAGGATTATAGCATTGAGGGGTTTGCAGAACAATTGCTTTCCCTTTCCCAGATTTTCCCCAAATTTGGCTACTCAGCTAAAGCTACATTTTGGTGACCTTTGGTCAAACCAAAATGCACAAGAGTACAAAAGAATTGCAGCACTGCTGTGAGATGGAAAAGGACTCACCACCACCCAAGGGTTAAGAAGAACTGAAATGAATTCAAATAACATACAAATTTTGTTTTACTGTAGGATTTACTGCCAACCATTTTGGGACACGTACCAGCTGGAAGTTCAACAAGGACAATAGTTCACTATGCTCAGGGAGTAAACTCTGGTGCCTTCCAGAAATATGACTTTGGACCAAGTGGGAACATGGATGCCTATGGAACACCCTATCCACCAGAATATGACAGAGACATGATCACCTCACCAGTGTATGCATACTGGGCTGACAATGATTGGTTGGCTCAACCAGAGGTTGGTTATACAAAAAGACTGAACTGATCATCTACCCTTTGTTTGACATTTAATGAGTAAATAAAAACTTCCTACAACGAACCAACGACTCTCCCGAAGGTTTAGAAGTCAACCTGATGTCCCACGGGGAACTGTACAAGTTGGTAAACCTGATGGACTGGGCCATTGATGTGGATATTCTTGTGTATGCTGACCTGATGGAAAAGATGAAGGCTGCTGATAATTGAATATTGCCTGCCAACATTTTTGAATTCATGATGAAATAAACTTTTTAATTTCCACAACCTTCACTGAGGGTGTTTTGAGCCACTAAAGTTATGAAACATGCGAATTTTTTAATGCATCGATTGGTTTAATTTTCAAGTACAGTACTGTATTTCAAGTTCAACATATTTTGGCTAATACAAATTTCTCAGGATTGTTTCAGAATTCAGTGTTTCTTCTATTCATGAATGAAAAACCTCACAAATTGGATTATATTTCCAAATAAATGTTGAAGTTTATGAAGCCACAAATCTACTTGGTTTTGAAAATAATGAATTGATCAAACATTGTCAGGACTACCCCATTATTGTAAACATGAATAAAACAAAAATGAATGAACTATTTTGAGGATAAAGGAAATGGTAGACAAAAGTTCAACAAAAAGTTAGTTATAATAATTTCAATTATATTATATAGATTAGTTTCAATTTCTTGAATGACTTTTGAAAAGCAATAATCCTTGATTCAAACCAGCACTTTTTCAAAATTTCAAATTATTCTAAACCCTTTTTTACTTTGTTAACCCAGATACTCTATACTTGTTGCAAGGTTTTCTATACTAGGAAGAATTACCCATTTTATTTCCTTCCAGGAACAAGTGGTGATTTTCTCCCCCTGCAGCTGTTGCTTGTTTTTCTCCTAAGCAAAACAATGTCAGCATTAATGCATGACGCTATTCCCCTCAGAAGGCCAAGCGCCTATTTCCCTCTCTTTATTGCTGACAGTGACTGCTGATGCCACTGTGACGGATTTTCTTTGACACTGCTGGGATCCAAGAGGATAATCCTCTTGGATACATGTATATTTTTGATTGAATGTCTTTTTTCTTGGTGCGCGCATTTCACCAGTGCTATGTTAAATGTATGCATGAGGTTTAAAAAAAACCGCATGAATTTCCTTTGACTTGAAGGAATCTCATTTATCCGCAATTCCTGTCAAGTTTATATAAACCTCTGATCTTCCTGAGCAAGCCTCAGAAATTATCCAAACCTCAATGCAGTTATTTCTCAGGAAGCCTTGTAGCAAATTTAACAAGACTTCCTTAATTTCCTGACTTTGTACTTTATATTGTTGTGAATATCAAAATATATATCATTTAATATTTTATAAATCTCTGGAGTATTTTATTTTTGGATAACAACTTTCAACTATTTTCCAGCAAAAAATAATTGAGTACAGTACTTTGAAATTGTCATGCATATAGAGCTGCTGACATTGCTGACAATGATAAATCAACAATTTTATCAGAATATCCTTGTAGGCCTGCATGCTGGTGGCATTGGATAAGACACTTCGTTAACACTTTTTGTACCAAACACTTTCGTACGTGGACTTTGACTATTGTTCTCGTTGTGTGTGTATATGAACATGACTTCAGAAGTTCAAGTTTAACAGTGTTATTTCCTAGAAACTGTTTCTGGTTTAATTTTGCCGCTTCAAATGTGTTCATTATACAGTACTTAGAAAATATTTTGTTGCTTTGACGGATATCTTCTGCTTAATTTTTCACAGATTCCAAAATGAGAGTGGTAAATATGTTTCAGAGAGAAGCTGCTGTAATATTATTATCTTTGGTGGCTGTTTTAAATGCCTCTCCTGCTTTAAAAGCGGAGAAGCCTAGGTTTGAATGCCCCAAGAGTAATCCAAGGTTAAGCCTAGTCAGAGGAATGCTTCAAACAAAGTTGCAAAAATCCCTTGCCAATATTCATCCAAAAATTCTGGAAAATATGAATGCTGGAAACTTCAAACATACCCCAGCAACTTTCATCAATCCACATGCTGAGAATAATCTTCCTACTGTGAGTATCTTCTGTATTTTTCCAGACTTTTTTCTATCTTAACTCAAAGAATATTAATCTCAAGCCACAAATCATCAGCAATGATGGGTACCCATCAGAGACCCACCAAGTGACCACAGAGGATGGGTACATTTTAGAAATGCACAGGATCCCTCATGGTGTGGCTCCTGGGTCTGGTCCTGGTGAAGGTTCTAAAACCCCTGTTTATGTCCAGCACGGAATCTTGTGCTCATCAGCTGACTGGGTCCTTTCTGGGCCAGAGGAATCATTGGGTAAGAAAAAGTAAGAGCCAGAAGCAAATTAGGATACTATTTATACATGCAGATGATATGTACATTGATGTACTGTATTTCTATTTTTACTTGTAAAGCTTACAAGTTGGCTGATGCTGGATATGATGTTTGGCTTGGAAATCTCAGGGGCAATACATATTCCAAAGGACATGAAAGCCTGACAGAAAAAGATTCAGAATTCTGGCAATTTGAGTGAGCACAATCTTGGATACCTGATATTTATTGTAGAACCAAATTTGATTATTAATTTTTCAGTGAAATGTGCATAGTTTCTTCTTGGGAAAATGCTTTTCTGTTTCAAGAAGGTTAAAAGGTGTTATATGCATTTAATTTTTTTAAAGATTCAATGACAAGTTTCATGAACAAATTTTGACTTGATTCTTTTGCAACATACTTGAATATAAATTAATTTTAAAATATGTACAGTTTAATACTGTTAATATTGTTTAATATAATGTAAAAATGTTTATTTATTCAATTTGTTTTTGCATCATCATCTGAATTTTTCACACATACACAAAATTATAATTGAGTTTTCCTGGACTTCATCACAACCATATTATGCACATATATTTTCATTTCAATGTTCACAGTTGGGACCAACATGGCAAATATGATGCCCCAGCCATGATGGATTTGATCACTTCAGTCACTGGGAAGCAAGAAATGTTCTACATAGGCCATTCAATGGGCTCAACCATGTTCTGGGTGTTGAGCAATGAAAGGCCAGAATACAGGGACAGAATCAAGGGGATGTTTGCTTTGGCTCCAGTGTCCAGGGTTGATCACATGATGTCACCCATTGCCTCCATTGCACCATTTATTGATGAACTTAGTGTATGCATTTTTTCTATGGATACATTGCCACAGTATACTGTATATCCTTTAAAAAATGGTACTTTCCTGTTATATCAGTACCTACCAATTTAGCTTGACCTAACCTAACTTCACCTAACTGCCTCCCAAAATCAGTTTCTGCTTTCTTTGGGTTTCTGCTGAAACTGATTTTGGNTTTGTGCACCTACCAGAAACTGTTGATTTAATTTTTCCACATTCTGCTAAAACTGATTTTGGGAGGCAGTTAGGTAAAGGTAGGTTAGGTCAGGTTATGTTAGTTACAGATATATTTTAACTAACATAACCTGACCTAACCTAACCTAACTTAACCTAACCACCTCCCAAAATCAGTTTCAGCAGAATACAGAAAAATAAAATTTGCAGTTTCTGGTAGGTTGTTGTGATTATGAACTCATCCTAATGATTTTCTGGATGGTAGTGTGGTCTAGGAATGAGGTACTGAGATAACAGGAAAGTACCAAAAAAACTACCAATTATTTTGCAGTGGATCCTGCTCTATTTTGGATTGGATGAATTTTTGCCAAGTGACATAGGAATCGGCTTCCTGGCAGAGTTGATCTGCATTCCTGGAGGATGGTCAGCAGCCATCTGCAGCAACATTTTGTTCCTCATCTGTGGATTTGATGAAGCTCAGCTAAATGAGGTACAATTCAATAAAACAAGTGTCACTAAGTGAATTCCATAATTTAAATTTTTTCAGGAGTTACTACCAACCATCCTTGGACACACACCCGCTGGAACATCAACCAGAACCATGGCTCATTATGCACAACAAGTCAACTCTGGAACTTTCTCAAAATTTGATTATGGCCCAACCTGCAACATGGAAACCTATGGCACACCATATCCCCCAGAATATGAAAGAAAGATGGTCACTTCCCCAGTGTACGCTTACTGGTCAGACAATGATTGGTTGGCACAGCCAGAGGTATATTCATCAAATAATGTATCAATGTCATTGATGTGCGATCACGTTTTATGTCATATACAAAAGTTGAACATTGATAAGTCAAATACCTCCCTATAAGTCTATTTTTTGGCCAAGTCCCCATATGAATTTCATTGGAAACACTGTATTAAAATATCTCTAAACGAAAGGCTTTTCATCTAAAACCTTTGTCACTTGAAGTTTCTGAGGCCATTATTTTCATGACACAGAGAAGTAAAACTCAATGAAAATCAACTTAATGCATATATAAAAGAAGTAAGACTAATTGGGTTTCAAAAAACCATATCTGTAAGTTCAGCATCCTGTCAGCTCATTTAAGAAATAATTTAAGGCTCAGGATATAACCCTTTACTTTTGCTTGCAATTCTTTGTTTTCCACAAAAAATGCTTCTTTCCCTCACTGGACTCCTCGCTCAATCAAAATTGTTTTGCTGGTCCCATGAAATTCCACTTAAATAGGTTTGACTGTACTTTATTTATGCATAAGACCATACACTTGTCTGAGAATGAGGTAACATATTAATTGTGCTATCTTAGAATGTTTTTTAATCAACTTGTCATTCAAAATGCTACATATGATTTCTAATTTCAGGATGTGGCATGGTTGGTAGCAGGGCTTCCCAACCTACAGTTGGACTACAGGGTGCCTCTTGACACATTCAACCACTTGGACTACCTTTGGGCAAAGGATGCAGATATTCTGGTTTATGATGATTTGCTGGAAAGAATTGCAGCTGCTGATGCACAAAAACTGTGAAAAAAAAATCTCATAGTTCAAATAAATTCTTATATTTGCTCAACATTTCATTTTTGTTCAAAACAACTATGAACAAACAAAACAAAATAAAAATCAACTCTGGGAATGAAGAAGGGTGAAAGGCAACAAAAACAACTTTTTGACTAGACATGGAAAAGCGTGCTTCTTCAAACGCGACTTTTTTCACAAGTGATTTTGGCCCTCGTAAGTAAAAAGTAAACGACCCTCCAACAGAATTGAACAGCAAATTTTCTTGAAGCTTTTAAAATGAAGTTTGACAAATAACTAGCCAAGTTCTAGTTCGGTTTTAGAAAACACAAACTGTTTTTAAAGGTGGGTGTTAGAAAACAAATTTGATGTCTTCGGAATTTTTCCCAAACACCACAGAACCAAGGAAGATAAACTATTCTCAATCGGAATGATCGGGTTTGATTGACAAGCAAAAAGTGAATTCTTAAAATGTTGCATGTTTGAAGACAAACTTCGGATTTCTCAATGTGAACTTGAAAAAATAGCTGTCACCTGGATGGTGACTCTTGTTTTTAAAGCTAAATCTTGGTCCGCAAACCAGAAAATTCTGTGCAAAAATTTGTCTATGCATAACAAATACAAAAATGTGAGGGATTGAAAAAAAGGTCTTTGGTTTCACAAGCCTTTCCTGGATAAAACATCACTGAAAAATATAAAGCTGAGTTATTCTCAAAATTTGAATAAATCTTTTTCGAAAATAAATATAAACTTAGATAGCCGATAAAATTTGAAAGTCTCTTTTCTAACAAGAAATTTGAAAAAGGTATTTGTTCACGGAAGCTTTTAAAAAAACGAGTCAATCGTACTTGTTCAAAGATTACTGATTTTTAAGGAATAAAAATTTATAATTCAGGCTATTATTAGAATGATCAATCTCGATATTGAAATAGTCTGTTATCCAAGAAGCGTCGAATTAAAATTTCAAATAAAAATCGTCGCGAAATAAAATCGAGCGACTCTTTCGAAAATGTGAAAAAAACAAAATTTCCCAATTGGAATCAATCAACCTCGGAAAACATTAAAAACTATAGAGACGGGTTCAAAGTCGGAACCTGCTGAAAATATTCGTGGCCCCAAAGGCTCTCCCACTCTTCACATCATCATCATAAGCTTTCTTCTGCCCATTCCTCGCATTCGAATCAACATTGATCCTTTGATCATCACCAGCAGTCAATCCATAGTCTTCGGCATTCCCGTCGTTATCTCCATTGTCATACAACAAATCCCCGCCGTCAATTTGCGCGTCATCCTGCTCAAAACCAGCGTCTCCGACGATCCCAGTTCCGGAACCCGTTGGGTCCATTGTTGTTGCCGGGCTCGTGGAAGAGTTGCATGTTGGGCAAGAAGGACTCCAGGTATGCTGGGTCGTAGTCGTCGAAGGATTCTTCTGACCTTGCTGGCGGTGAGTCGCGGAACGGGAATGCAGGACTGAAAAAAAAACCAAAGTTTCATTTTTCGTATAATTGAAAAAATATATACCGTATATATTCGGACACGAAAGATGATTCATGCTGTTTTCACACAGAAACGCATGATCGAATCATTGTTGATTATTTTTCATGTTCAAAGTGAAATTTTTCAAAGCTAAAGCGAAACGAATGCGATCCGTAAAATGTCAAAAATTTTCGGTCGTCTAAATGGAAATGATGCATCAAAAAAATATAGAGAGATGATTCATTTCATCAAAGAAACGCACGATCGATAAATTATTGATTCTCTCTCCGTTCAACGTTGAAATGAATCATCAAAGCAATATCGAAACCAAGTATAAATCACGTGAATTTGAAAAATAAATTCCGAAAAAAACCCAGCTACAGACTTTTTTTCTCATACCGTCGCAATTTGTAACACCGTTTCTGCATTTTAGACTATTGTTTAAATTATCTTCAATTGAAAAAAAATCCAAGGATATATGATTTCAAAATCAGCTATAATTGGTGCACAAATTCAGACCCAACTTCTCCTCCATAAAAAACAAACACTCAAATTGTACCATTCAAATGCGTCATGCCACAAATTCCCAAAAAGTAGTCTCATATTCAAGTAAAATTCCAGAATTATAAAAGAAAAACAGATTAAGGCTATTTTAATAGGTACAAGGAAAACGCGTGGAAGCAAAGAAAAATAACTGACACGAGTGTGACAAAAATGTTAACAAAGCCCAGATAGAACATCGAGGCATAAAAGACGATTCATGTCATCACACGAACACCCGCTAGACAATTTCGTTTCTCATTCTTCAGTTTCCACGGAAAGAATGAACGAAAAATCTAGAAACAAGGAAACTATAAATTACTCCTATATGAGCAGAAAGTATGACGACAGTCTCGGTCATAAACAACGTCAATCCAAGAATCGAAAAAAAAGCATGAAAAAAATAAATGAAGTTTTTTTTGTTGCTGTAAAATCCGCTCTGTTGCGTTGAAATGGTTCTTGCACGAAAAGATGCGGAAGATTTTGACACGACGCAATAATAACGCCCCCACTTCAACGCGGAAGTCGACGATATCCATCAAATTTGTTTGAAAAAAGGGAAGCTCGCTATAATTCTGCGAATAATTACTCGTCACGACTGGATTTCTCCTTAATAATAAAAAATGGTTCCCCCTTAGAATTTTAATCACGAACAACAACAAAATAATATTTTTTTAAATGGCGAACGCGTCGACGAATGCTTTTTTGCAGCACAGTCGACTTTCAAGAAGAGAAAGGAAAACATTTTTTTCAGCCACGTCTAGTTCCACTCCCAAGAAAATGTTTTCACAGAATAATTAAATCTCGGGGCATGAGGAACAAGACGAATTTTCTCTGATTTTTCCGCCGAAAAGTTCGAAACACCGTAATTAAAAATAACCCATCAAACTCAGCGAACAGTAAAGTAATTTTCTCCTCGAATTGGACTCCGACTATTCCGTTCCTGGCGCTGCGTTTCGTTACGTTTCGTTTCGTCACGAAAAGCTCCTTCCCTTGAAAGTTAGATTGTAAATTAAATTAATTATTCGAGAAAATCACCAAAAGCTATAAATACACCTTAATAACTGCTGGATATTATTCTTAGTTTCCAGCATAAATTTGTGAATTTAAAACTGATTGGCGGTGATCATGACAAGTTTTTGCCATTACCTTTCCATATAGATTTCACAAATGTTACGAACAAGAAGAGGAGGCAGAAAATATATACTCAAATCTTACGATATTCATCGAGCTTTAAGCCAAATTCAAAAGTTGTATCTCATCAAAACTTGCCGGAATTCGAGTGTTTACTAGCCAAAAATTTTGTCAAGTGAAATAATCCGTTATGTAAGTCCCGTTTTTTCCTAATCATAAGAACTTTTTAAGGGATGATTTTCCGCTTAGTTTGTCTTTTGCTACGTGGGGACTCACTGTATTATACTACTGTATATGAGCTTCAGTATTCAAAGTTTTGAGCAGGGTTTTCCTTTTTTTGCAAAAAACAATTGATTTTGAAGAGTATCTGTGCAAGATCGATGGGTAACTTCATTTTCAGTCTTCTTCCGTTTGATTAACCTTTTAATGCGAACTTTGGAGTCAATCCCACAGATAGATGAAAAAAGAAGGATTCATGCCTATTTTCTTGCGTTGGACAATTTCTTGCATGTTTTTCTCTTCTTTTTCTGTCAACATCGGCAATATTACTGCATTGGAATATTCTAAATTTTTCAGATGATTCTGATGAGCGAGTTGCACAAGACCTTGCCAATAATACTCACTGACAGGCCTCACTGCATGACACTCCTAAAATAATATCTGATGATCTTTGCAAGACCCTTTATATTCGTTATGCGGGGACTCCCTGCAAGTGTACTCACACTCTAGCTTCCTGTGGGAATCGGAATTCCTGCTCCTCTTCTGTCGGTTCCTGACGCAGAGACGGAAACAACTGGCTCACCATGTTCCGGATGGGACCACCTTGCCTATGCGTGATTTCCGCCGTCTTGGGCTTCTTCCGCATGATGCCAGACTCAGTTTCTACTGATGATGCCGCCCTGGCCAGAGAATACAAATCCGACGCCGGTGCCGCCACGTACGGCGTCATCGGCGAAGCCATGGATTCCGGAGCCCATGCCAACAATGACATGATCACGGCAAAAGATGGTAAAGCGACGAACGCGCGAATCGGCAGCATTTTCATCAAATCAGCACGCAATCGTTAAAATTTAATCAGGCAGATGATGATCACGATTTGCGAGGGTCGTTGCAATAATAAGTTTCTGCGCAAAAATATAGGTACACAGACGTATGTTATTGTTGTACACTGCTAATGGAAACT